CCGCCTAAGATTATTGGCCTTAAGGGACCGTTTCTCCACTACCAGGTCCATTGCAAATGAATGGTTTGCAGAACACGGAACACCTATTGGCATGCGAAGTGTTTACCGACGAATGAGAAGTTTTGGCTTGTTTTCATACCGGCCACACTGGGTCCTCCCTTTAACTCGAGAACACCGACGTAATCGCCTTGAGTGGTGCAGACAACGGTCACTCTGGGATCAGGAATGGAACAGTATTGTCTTTAGTGACGAGTCTCGATTTTGTTTAGGCATGCACGATGGTCGTGCCAGGGTTAGAAGGCGACGTGGTGAAAGGAGGAATCCACAGTTTTTTGTTGAAAGACACGTTCATCACACTGTTGGAGTTTATGGTTTGGGGTGCTATAGCTTATGGTTCCAGGTCACCTTTAATCTTCATCAGAGGTAACATGAACGCGCAGCGTTATATCCACGAAGTTCTAGAACCCCATCTTTTACCCTATCTTGACACCCTGGCAGATCCAACTTTCCAACAAGATAATGTCCGACCACATGTTGCAAGAGTCACAATAGACTTCTTTCAACATAATGATGTCACATTGTTACCATGGCCACCAAGATCTCCCGACTTATCCCCAATTGAGCACGTGTGGGATATGATGGGTAGGAGATTGCTCAATTTGCAACGTCCTCCTCAGACTCTAGAAGCACTTCGAGAGGAGTTGGTGGTTGCCTGGAATGAGATACCACAGGAGGACATTGACCACCTGATCAGAAGCATGCCTAGGCGCTTTGGAGAATGCGTAGCACATCAGGGTGCATCCACACATTATTAAAGGTCAAAGGGCTTTAAAGCAGTGCAATCATTTTGAAATTTTTATCATTTACTTATTATGCTTCATTAAATACTTATACAAAATATTATAATAAAACCATTAAAACTGGGTGTTCGGATTTATATGTCACTTAGTATAGTTATTGGATATCTATTGCTATAGGTAACCCGGTGGCATAGTGTTATTTCTGGTGAATGGTTAAGCGTTATCATACGGATATCCTCCACACTATAAGGTAAAGTACCTGCCTTACCATTTAGAGAGAGGTATAATGATAACCAGAAATCGTAATGGGACACGGGTTCAGACCTTTAAGATATGTTAATTTCGACCATTTTAATAATCTGAGGCGAATATCCAAGGCAAAACATTTTATGAGTATTGTGCAATATTCCAACAGCTCAAGGTTTCGCAAAGGTTGAATATTTTGTGTTAGATAGATGTACATTGACCGATTCTTTGGAAGGATATAGATTTGTAAAGCATGATGATAACTCGATTCCAATGAATTGATGATATGGAATGTTTGATAGCAATTTCAACATATGACGATAACTTTATGCTTTCACGTATAATAACTTTTTATATTGGTAATGAAGAGCTGAATTATGATTATTTTCTGCTATTTTGATCAACAGAGTCAAACTAGTTATTCATAATTCACATTCACAAAAAAAATTCGACCAACCTATTCCTATGACCAGTCCACTATGTTAATATGTACATTTTCTCACATATCAAATTGCGTCTGAACATGCACCCTTGCGTAAGATTTTCTCATGGTCATCCCCTATTTAAGACGTCTAATTTTTTAAAATTCACCGCACCACACAACCGGTTACACTTTGTTCCATTCGGCATACAGAAGGGATGCTGTCCAACGGAGGACCACGTCACCCTTGTTAAGAATTTTCTATTTTTAAAGCAAGTAGTTTCAGATAGCAGGTTTCAACGTTGAAGTATCCCACATAACAATGAGTTGAATAATAATTATTACGAACCTGTCACTCGGTAATGTCAACATTAAGTGTTGAAACTTGAATAAATATTTAATATATACAGGGTGGCACATCTAAAACGAAACAGACGCATTTACTGGCAGCTCAGTTTTTTTTGGAAAAACGCGCAGACCCGTCGATTTTGTTTTCGAGGGGGACACAAGTTTGGCAAAAAATCACGTTAGCACGTGCAGCCCCCTGGGCGGGGGTGACACCAACCCTAAAATCTTAAATGGAAAGGGGGTCGAGTGATACCTTATTTTAAAGGCCTTTCAATTCCCTTTATAATGATATAAAATTGATGTACTTCAGTTCAGTAGTTTTGAAGATTTATTGATTTAAAGCTTAAATAAAACTAATATGTCATCATTAGTGGAGATCAATACATTTGGCAGCAAAGTAATTTAAAAATGAAGAATGAACTGACCCGTTAGGCAAGTAAATGTTGAAAAACCAGCAGAAATTATGATAAAATCTTTGCGCTTCTTCCTTTCAGCATAAAACGCTACATATTTTTTTTTATCATACATAAATAAAGTAACCCGCCCACCAGTAAAACCTGCATTGATCACTGCTTTATAAAGGATATTTCCAATATTTTTTCTTACATGCCTATTATCTATGAAACCGATATTACAGATCATTATTCCACTGTATTATTGATATCTTCACAAAATAAAAACCAGAACTGCCCAAGGGCAAAAAATGAAAGAAACCTTGAATACAAATATTTCACTGACAACTCAAAATTAATATTTAACGCACAAACGGAATCGTGGGACGAAATTTTTTTAACAAATTCTTTAGACGAAGCTACAAATTTATTAATACACAAAATTCAAAAAGTAATTGAAGTTAGTACTAATAAGGTTAAAATAAGTCACAAGGAAAAAAGCAGAAATGATTGGATGACCAAAGGACTAATAAAATCTGCAAACGAAAAAGAAAGACTGTATAAAATCATGAAATATTTACCCACAAAAGAAAATATAGATCATTATAATCAGTATAAAAACAAATTTATAGAACTTTTGAGAAAAGCAAAAAAGAATTACTATATAAAACAATTGAATAATAATTCACATGACTCTAGACACCTATGGTCCACTGTCAATGATATATTCAATAAGTCATCCTATTCAAAAAACAATATTAATGAAATAAAAACAAAAACAGGACAGAAAACAGACAATATTCAGCAAATATGTGATGAGTTCATAGAATTTTTCACGAATATAGGAGGAAACTTAGCAAATAATATCAAACAAAATGCTGATATTCATCTGCATGAAACAAGACTAAATAATTCATTTGTATTAACTGAAGTAGACTATCAGGATGTTTTCAATGCCATTATGACTCTAAAAATTAAAAAAGCCCTGGAGTTGACGAAATTAGAGCTGAACATCTAAAGATACTGGCCAAACAAATAACAGAACCACTTACTTATATCATTAACAAATCCTTCCAATCTGGAGTATTTCCATCAGCTTTCAAGACAGCAATCATCATACCTATCTATAAATCTAATGATAATACGGACGTCACTAACTATCGACCTATTTCACTTATATCAAGTTTAGCTAAAGTTTTTGAGAAATTACTCCTTAATAAAATGATTAATTTTCTTAATAAATTCAAAATTCTAAATTCAAATCAATATGGTTTTATAGCGGGCAAATCTACAACAGATGGGGTATTAAGTATAGTAGATGAAATAACCCAAAATATAGATGGAAAAGTACCATCGATATACGTATTTGTGGACTTACAAAAAGCGTTTGACACAGTTAACCACAATATACTTTTGGAAATCTTAGAAAGAATAGGTTTTCGTGGAAAGATGTATACTTTAATGGAAAATTATTTATCAAATAGACCGCAATCAGTAAAATTATTAAGCTCGTATAGTAAAGAAATGTTTGTTAAATGTGGTGTTCCACAAGGTACAATTTTGGGTCCTCTGTTATTCAATATTTATTTAAACGATATATTCAAAATTAACAGTACTGGTAAAATAGTCAGTTTTGCAGACGATACTGCTATACTCTATAAAGGTAAGGATTGGAACGACTTAAAAGATATTATCCAAAATGACTTTTGCAAAATTATTCAGTGGTTTAATAACCGAAAATTAACAATTAACTCTACTAAAACTCATTTTTTACCATTTTCATCACTATCTAATCATCTACCAAAATATAACCACCTTCGGTTTAAGGTAAATGATAAAAATATAAAAATCAATAGAGTTAATGATACAAAATATTTAGGAATTTATCTAGATCCAGACTTGAGATGGGATGTACATATTTCTCACATACTAAAGAAAATTAGATTCATAGCATATAAAATAAAATTTCTCACCGGTATATTAACTGAATATTATCTACGAATAATATATCAAGCTTTAGTCGAGCCACACATAACATATGGTATAGTAGTGTGGGGTGCTGCATGCACGAAAACTTTAACGATTTAGATGTACTTCAAAGAAGAATTTTAAAATCAATGTTAGGCAAATCAAAATTATACCCAACTAATGACTTATATAATGATGCACAAGTATATGATACTAAACAACTTTACTTCTTACATACCATCACTCATTATCACAAAACTATTAGTGAACACGACATAATTAAACATAATCACAAAACCAGATATAAATTACGCGCAAAAAATGTTCCTAAACCAAACAAATCCCTAATGAAACGATGTCACCTGTATATAGCTCCAAAATTGTACGAACATTTACCAAATAATTTAAAACAATTACGCAATACATTAGGCTTCAAAAAAAATTAAAAAAATTTATTAACACGATTGGAAGAAATCAAATTAATAAAATAATCTCAAATATTACACAATAAATGCTCTACCATTCTTACCAATAATTTCTTTTTTCTCTCTATTTTATTATATTTTGCAATTCAACATACATATGATCCATGCACAGGCGTTGTCCTCCTATGGATATACTATATTTATTTACTCGTTTCATGTTCCCTGTATTTTAGAGTAAATAAATATTATTATTATTATTATTATTATATTATTATTTGCACTCTGAAAATTTTTGTTGTGAACCTCACGGAACTTTTTCATCTCTTGGCAATATATATAAGTTTTCATTTTGTTTTTGATGTGGACGCGGCATTACCAATTGATAGAAAAATCAACCTACCTTACAAACGAGCTCCTCCTTGGTGTTGATATCCACACACCGATACAACGAACTACCTTCGACCTGCTCGAAAATCTGATATTTGTCGTCGATGATCGCCGTAGGCGCGAAGTTCACCCCTTGACTGTAGCTGTCCGTAGTCACCCTCGGCACGCGACACTCGATATCTTGCGGCTGAGCGACGCGGATCTTCTTCAATAACTCCGCGACGGGAGCGTGAGTCGCCACCCCCAACCCCAAATCGGAAGGGGTCGGCTTCTCTGCCCGCGGCACCGTCAACACTTCTTGCACGTTCTGCATTTCGATGGCGTCACTAGGATTCTATCACAGTCTACTAGTGTTTACTGGTCACTGATTGTTGCATCTGACACTTATCGCACTAATGCGTATCACTAGCTGGCATCCCTCAATTCTGGTACAATTAGCTAGCTGGAACAAAGAAAAAATAGGTTACTCATTAAATACATTTTTCTCCATACTCCTCAAAAGAAATTTGGTAAATGAGCCGGAGACCCTGAAACGTCAAAAACGAAGTTTCAGCAATATCTATTTTTTTATTTTCTGTCTCTCTAGTTTCGCCATCATTGGATCGATTTTAAAAAATCACAAAGGTCATTCATAATAGTAACCTTGTGCTAAAAAACAAGCATTAAACTGCTCCAGATTATTGTATCCCCAAACAGTGCAGCCTCCAGGCGCCAGCGTTTTAATCAAAGCTATCTAGCTAAGCGCAAAGTCCGCTATTTTTCTAGGAGGGTCACCGGTTGTGCTCAGCAGATTTATTACTGCTGCTATAGCGAATGATACCCATACCAATAATTTTCGAATGACGCAGCTCGCATGTCGCACTACTCGATTCCGCGAGCACTTGTATACCGGGTACTGTCTCATTTCTTTTGCTATGTCGGGCAGGGAATGAAGAAGAGATAAATGTTTAGTCACGATGCCGAGCGTCATAATTGGTTTTGTGTTTTTTCTGTCGCACAGTAGCACAATCTCCGTAAGAGATCTGCTACATTAAAGATTATACCGTGTCGGTAGCTTAATTGAGACAACGGGGCTTTGCACTACTCGGCTTCCTCTACTCGTTGAAGACCCATCGCAATTTAGTTTACATGCTTTTGTTACGCTGCTTGTCCTCTAACGCGGCTGCTACTACAGCGTGTATAATTCTTGCAAATATTCCTAATAACACATACATCAAGGACATAAGATAACTGAGACATTAGACTCTGGAAAAAAAAGTGATACCAGCACTTCGTCCATTAGGTGATTGGATAAAGAGATACAGGGTTTGTCCGGAAAGTAACAGGACTGAGTCGCTTTAAAAAAATTTATTGAGCCAATCGTTACAATTCTTTAAAAACATTCAAAATAGGCTCCTTCTGCGTCGATGCAGCGCTGCCAGCGCGATTTCCAAGCATTGAAGACGTCACGAAAGACAGTCTCCGGAATAGCCTTGAGAGCCGCGGTGCATGCTGCTTGGATCCCCTCTGTCGTCTCAAAATGCTTGCCTTTTCAGGCGAGGAAACAAAAAAAATCCGGGGGGGCACATCTGGGCTGTAGGGCGGCTGCGGAAGCGTTGGGATGCCGACCTTGGTCAGGTAGCTGTTCACAAGAAAGGCGGTGTGAGCCGGGGCGTTGACGTGGTGCAACTTCTGACTGACTGACCCTTCGTTTGAGTCTCCTGAGCGCTTCCACGTAAAACTTGGCGTTGACGGTTTGTCCAGGAGGAACAAATTCGTGGTGGACGATGCCTTTGATGTCAAAAAAGACAATGAGCATCGTTTTCACTTTGGATTTGCTCATTCTTCCCTTTTTTGGGCGAGGAGACGCCGTCGTGTGCCACTCGGAAGATAGCCTCTTTGTCTCGGGATCATACTCAAAGATCCACGACTCGTCACCTGTGATTACGTTATTCAAAAATTGGGGGTCACTTTCACACATGTTCAAATTTTCTTGGCACACTTCCACTCGCCGCAATTTCTGGTCGTCAGTGACCATCTTCGCGCACACCTTGCGCATGTTCAAATGCTGTGTCACGATGTCATGAACCACAGATTTTGGTAAATGTAACATCTGGGCAATTGAACGAATACTTAGTCGACGGTCTGAGTTCAAAACTTTGCGCACATGAGTCACATTATCGGTGTTTATCGAAGTCGAAAGTCTTTCATCACGGTCATCATCAGCGACCTCTTCTCGGCCCTCCAAAAAGGCCTGGTGCCACCGAAACACACCACTTCTTGCTAAAGCAACACCTGGGTAAGCCTGCTTGATCATATCAAACGTACTGTCGCAGATTTACCGAGTTTCACACAGAATTTAATCGCGTAGAAGAAAATGAGTCCTATCACTTTCCGGACAAACCCTGTACGTCGCGCAGAGCGTCAGTATCCAATCCATACGCTGGACAGGTGAGGTTTGTTTATAAATCGGATATAAAAAACCGAAAACAACACACTCATATAGCAATAACAAAATTGAAGAATTTTTTCAATCCAAGGATAACCCATTAATTAAATGAGGTCATCTTACACATGTATATAATTTGTTATCTCACATTAAGATAAGTGAGTAAACCATTCATTCATATTGTTTTTCCACAAAAAAAAATGAGGCAAGATGGACACAAATCATGCACCCATATCAAATTAATAGTTTTTCATTTATCTCATAGATTACGGACGATCTCGCATTGTGAAACGTTTCCATCTTTCAAAACGTTCACAGATAATTTATATTGAGATTGCGTAATTTCAATCAAAGTTCGTCCTTTAACAAGGACTCGATACCCGTTTGCACAATACTTGTCTATCTACAATGCCAAGATGTTTGGGAAATGTTCAAGATTTCGAGTTAAAACAAAGGCGAAGCTTTAATATCATGAAGACATCGAGTAGATTTGATCTCCTGTACACATTCAGGAAACAAATTAAGGATAACACTGTAATTTTATTGTCCAGGGGAGCTCGGTGCGCCTAATGTCTGCCAAGTCTTTACAGAAGCAGTTTCGGTAGCAAAGGAAAAAGAAAACGTAATCATGAAAGGCTCCAAGAAGATTAATGGTGTTGCTTCATGTAGCAATATTATAAAGCCCAGGTGACCCAGTGTCTTAGTTTCTCAATAACATGGCACAAAATTCACTGGCTTTAATTTTAACAAGCACAAAATAATATCGACTTGCCTTTAGAAGCAAAAGTTTGTTTACTTAGTTTTCTGTCAGATGACTTGTATTTATTTTGAAGTTTTCGCTTTAAGATGTATAAATTAGAAATAAGAAGAAGAAGAAACGGGGAATACGCTGCCTGAATCTCCTCCCAAAAAGTGGAAGACCATGTGCATTTACTGCATAGAGAGATTGGTGGTAAATATTTTGTGCCATAACTTTTAGGACATACGATATATTTAAGAGTCTGTGGTCAAGAATCAACTAAACTTATACAAATTCCGAACTATTCCTGTCAAGACCTGTTCCTTCATGTCAGAACCTACCTACCTTTCCTACTTGTTGCTTTTCAGTTTATTTCGTGTTTTAACATAAGATTCAGGATGATCGTACGTCCCCAAAAACCATAAGCAGCCACAACCGCTGAAAGCCACACCACGATATCTGTTATATAGAACAACTGTATGGAATTGTGCTCTTCGAAACAAGAATGGGCAAATATCGGAAGAAATAAAAGAAATGTTCGATTCCGGTGGTTAGCAAAAACAGTATGGATACCTGATACAATTGCCATAACTTATGTTACGCGTTACGGTAAGCCGTTGCTTATACACCTAGAAGCATCCTTGCTATTTAGAACTTTGTATGCATGCATGCATATGCAGTGACGCAAAAGGTACATAGTTACGGTCCGTACACATTTACGTCAATCTATATAATACCTATGAAACAAAAACTTATGCGTCACAAACGTTATGCAAAGTATCAATGGATACTGAAAATGATAATGTGTAATTAGCTACAATGTTGGCCGGTTCGTTTTCGCAAAACAAGTTAAATTATCTACGTGTTTTGATCCGATACTTACGCAACAGATGCTGATGTCATGTCAGGACAGGAGTAACGAAATTGCAACAGTTTCGGAGCTAATAGCACATCAAGCGGAAGGGATCGGTAACACAAATGTGATAAAATTAGATCGGACAACGAGCATCTAATTACTAAATCAGTACTACTTCATCAGGATTAAGAAAAAATATTTCGAAGCTCCAGAGTTGGATGAAAAATTTATGATAGTTATAGTAGCTGTATACCTTGAATGGGCGACCAAGGTTAGCATGTAAATCACCAAATTACTGAAACATCAAGGTTCAGACTATGCCTCGTTCACGCTGACAATGAATGGTTATTTATGGATCAATTTTGAATCGATACACCTTCATTTTTAGCAGTCGATTCTACAGATATATCAAAAAAGTGTGCTTTTGTCGATGTCCTTGACGGATAGTGCTACCCTTAAAGGATACCACGCACGCTTTGTGATACGCACTTCACTTTACTGTATATATCTAGATAATTCAATAAAAATACGAAAATGTAACTGAAAATTAACGTTAACTTATCAACTGGAATTTGGAGAACAGGCAAAGATGTTGTGCTGTGTTGCGGTCAACAAATAATACAAACGAATTATGACAACAATGATGATGATGATGATGATGATGATGATGATGATGATGATGATGATGATGATGATGATGATAATGATGATGATGATGATGATGATGATGATGATGATGATGATGATGATGATGATGATAATGATGATGATGATGATGATGATGATGATGATGATGATGATGATGATGATGATGATGGTGATGATGGCGAAAAAGATTATGTTGATGTTGATTATGATGATAATGGCCAAGATCGTTCTAGATTTTCAAACTTTCTTAGCTGATTGAAGAACATTGGTCATCGTATGACCGATTCTCCATCAATAAGGACCACAAAGACATTTTAAGGGATGTGTTATGAAATGAATGAATTGTCGGCACTCTATACTAATTTCAAATATATTTTGTTTTATGTATCGATCTTGCTAATGGTAATTTAGCACATTTCCGGCAGCGTATAGTAGCTGCAATAGCTTCCTATTAAAATTGCGTTTGATTGTTGTAAGCGAAGCGCCTATTACAAACTCTGCGTTAACACAATTTGTCATTTCGCAAAAAATATTAAAATTACTCAATTTGCTTCAAAGCATTTCGAGTTGTAACGTTACACCACTTTGCACAATCTGCCTCTGCAGCAGTCTGACCATATAGGTGTATGTAATTATGAATGTCGAAAGAGCATTGTGAAATGTCAAAGTCACACACAGACGCAAAACTGGATGATCTCTCTCTGTTTGCCACTGCCTGTCTAGTCCAAAGGACGATTGCTACTGCTTAAAAGAAGGAAGAAGAAAGGAAGGAATGGAAAGAGTAAAGAGAATGAAGTGTGTCGATCAGATGGGTAGCCTTACAATTGTTGACCAAGTCGACGTTTTATGAACTTGTTGTTAAGGGAAAATTTTAAGCTTCGTCTTTAATGTAGCCTCTTCGTTAAGGGATGTCCAGGTCTATCTGAACCTGAACGATCTCATTTGAGACGTGACCTACCTCGCAGTTGTGACAGCGGCGACGGCAACAGGTGGTTATATATCCTTGAAACAAACGAACAACACTCGCGTCTGAACAATTGACAGTCGTACCGCCTGCGATAACAAAAGAAGATCGCGTACACACACACCGGGCGCCGGCGACGGACGCGACGTACTGTCAGATAAAGTGGTGGAGGAAGCGTGCGCACTCTAACAGGCACATCGCGCCACTGAAGGACCAAATTATCCGGCGATAGTGCGAGAGTGCCGAGAAATAAGTGCGCTAACGCGCAGCAGCGTTGCCTTGCGCACGTAGCGGAACATAATGACAAACGACGAGAATTGGCAATGCGTAGGAAATGATACGAGAGAACTGTTTTATTGGTATGGTTATTTCAAAAATCTTAGATCGGCGTCGGCAGAATTTTTTGGACAATCGTTGTTCACACAGTGCTTAGTAAAAAATGTATTAAGCAGGTTAGACCATCTTATTCTGTCCCTCAACTACTCGATAATATACCAATTTGCAGAGAATAGAACATCTTTAAAAATTATCGATATCTCTCTTTAAATCAGATATGTATTACAGTATATTTAGATAAGAGATAGACCGGATGTAAACAAAAGGTTCGGGTGATTTTCACGCTGACGCCGCCGTCTCGACGTAAAACAGGAGCCCTCATTGGTCAATTCGCAATTAAATGCCTATGCCGAGCGGCAGAGCAGTCGTATCAAGGCAGAGTCACATTCAGGTTCAGACGTGTTACGTATGTCGTGTGCATCATTGCAATTTGATATTTCTTTGGACGTTTTCGTTTGTTATCTTATTAAGTTGTTGAGTTTGTCGTTGTTATTGTTATACCTTGTTATTGATTGTTATTGTTATCAACTGCTCGCGCAAAATGCCCAGTAGTACAGATACTGCCGATGAAGTTGTAAACTCCTGTAGTCCACCTAGGAAACGCTCTAAAAAAAGACATCTGAGTGCAGAAATGAAAGAGGTCATTTTGAATATATATAAGATCGAGCGCGAGGAGAACGAGGCATCAACCATCAAAGAAATTGTTGTGAAGGTTTCTCACAAAGTTGGGGTGTGTCGCGCATCAGTGTTTAATGTGTTAAGACAATACAAAAAAAATCACACCTTTTCTGAGCCAATGACCAGTAAACATCGCAAAAGTATTGTTAAATCATTGGATGAAGCTGATAAGCATGCGATTAGGAGGAAAGTGCATGAATTCTTCTTTACGAATGAAATACCTATAGATAAAGTACTGCAGGAGGTAAATGGAGATACAACGTTGCCAAATTTCAAACGATCAACTTTCCATGCGTTACTGAAGCATTTAAATTTCAAATGGAAAAAACGGGGTCGTAATAGTTTACTACTGGATAGAGAAGAAATTGTGCTATGGAGGAGGGATTATTTAACAAAAATTGGGAAATATAGAAATCAAAACAGGAAGATTTATTACCTTGATGAAACGTGGGTAAACGCAGGACACACTACAAGTAAAGTATGGGTTGATGATTCTGTAACTTCATCCAGGAGGGCCTTTCTAGATGGACTGTCCACCGGATTAAAAAATCCAGCAGGTAAATACGAGTAATAGACAACAATCGGATGTTTTTCAAACCTTGGGAACAAGGTTCTAAACATTAATTCCAGGGGGCAGATAAAACATATTACAAGTAACAAAACTTTTATAACTTTCGATAAAATGCGTGGATGTTTTATTGTCATTTTCATTTGTTACAACTTTTTTAAGCCATGTTTTTATGTGTTTTCGATATTTCAATAATTTTTTAATATAATCTTAAAATATGTCGAATATTATAAACTTAAAAAAAGTTACTAAGTTTTATATAGTGTACCGTTCCTAATATTTCTAATCATTTTAATTCATACTTTAACCTTTATAAAGTTATAATTTCTTAATATTAATATTTGCGCGTATTTCAGGTTCCTGATCATTCATTTTTTAAAGGTTTATAACTTTAAATTAAATTGTGAAGCGCTGAGTAATCATACGACGTTCAATATTCTTTCTTTCAATATGACTAAATAATCCCAATTATAGCAATCTGATACTCATGTCTCAATGTTTTTTCGCTGAATGTGATGAAAACATTTGAAAAAGGTTCGCTTATTGAAGTAAATCTACACCAGTTAGTACTTCGATTTCCAGGTAAAGGGAAAAGGCTCATTATCTGCCATATTGGCAGTGAGGATGGATTTGTTGTTGACGGTATGTGGTGCTTTGAGTCTAAGAAAACTGGAGATTACCACGAGGAAATGAATGGCGAATCGTTTGAACAGTGGTTTTCAAAAATTTTACCGAACTTAGAGGAAAACGCAGTAATTGTGTTGGATGCGCCTTATCATTCTCGAAGAATGGAGAAGGTCCCAACAACGGCTTCAAGGAAAGTTGATGTTCAAATTTGGCTCCGCTCGAAAAATATCAACTTTGAAGAAGCACTGCTGAAAGTACAATTATTAAGAATTGTCAAGGATCACAAGGCGGAATATCAAAAATACGCCAGTGACGAAATGGCAGCAAGTCAAAATAAAACTGTGCTCCGTTTACCTCCATACCATTGCGAGCTCAATCCCATTGAGCTCATATGGGCAGAGGTTAAAAATTATATAGCTAAGCACAACACAACTTTTAAATTTTGTGACCTCAAAGGACTTTTCAAAGAAGCACTAGAATTAATAACAGCGCAAAAATGGGAAAACTGTATTAAGCACGTGAAAGACAAAGTTGAAAAGAGAATGTGGGAACTGGACAATATTTTAGAGGAACAAGTCGAGCCATTCATTATTGACGTTGGTGCTTCAGGCAGTAGCGATGATGAAAGCTCATCAAGCTCATCTTTCCAATAAAAGATGTCGTTCATCAAATTCGGTAAGTTATAAGTAATTATAAAGCTACTGTATTTTTTAATTAATTATTGACATTTTTGAACCCATTTTGGCAAAACCTATTCAAGAATCTACTTTCTGACAATGTTCAACCATGCACATTTTTTTACGTTTTGAACGTTTTAATTTGGTTACATATTTACCTAGAAATCAAAAAATATACTAATCAATATTCTAAAAGCAATTTTAAGAGATATACGATTATTTTTAATTTAGGCTAATTTAAACGCCATTTTTAGATTATATTCGACTGTATTTCACCAAACATCAGGCGGCATCCGAAGTTGGAAATCGAAGCGAAAATTTTGAAACCCTTATGTATATTTACATCATTATATATTTCTTACCCCACCCCCACATGATCCTATATCCATCACCAATCGTATACACATCGAATTGTGCTAATTTACTATAAAGTTACGCAAAGCAGCATCTACTATCTAAAATATGTACTGCGTGACTCTTAATACGTCCCTGCCGAATGTTACAGCGTTCGATGATCACGTGGTCTTGTTTATGTCCGGTCTATCTCTTATCTGAATATACTGTAGATAAACAGGAGCGGGCGCCTTGTGGCACTCCCGAGAAAATCAGACATATCGACACAGACTCTTCGCATGAATGTTTGATTCCCTAGAGAGTGCCACAAGGCTCAGTACTGGGACCACTTCCATTTATTTTATATGTATATACTAAATGACATAGAAAATGCAACACCGACTAGGAGTGTTGTAATTTTGAGCAAACTTTTACAATTCAGGTCTACTGATAAATAGAAAGTGGGTGAAATTTTAACTCAAAATTTCGCAAAATAGCTGAGATATCCCACCTTAATGTTAGCTATACATTCGATGTCATCGCGGCATTGATTGGATTCGGTAATGGATGTCTTCTCGGTGTATTGTGTATATAAATAGTTCTGCATTTTATATGTCACTTAGTATATTTATATATATTATATATATATATATATATTCAACAACAAGTAGGAAAATAATGGGCAAAATCCGCAAAAAGGAGGAAAGTGGATTCGAGCAGAAAGTAGGATAGGTAACCCGAGCGATACGTATTTCTGCTGGTTGGCTTTATCCACTTTCCTCCTTTTTGCGGATTTTGCCCATTATTTTCCTACTTGTTGTTTTATACTTTTCTCCGCATGATCATATTCTCTTTATATATATATATATATATATATATATATATATATATATATATATATATTCTTCCTGTAATCCTCTCCAAAACGCACCGCTACTTCATCGCCACGACATATTCAGGGGCAGATGTCGATTTTTTGCCCGAGATGTACCTGAGAACATGTCAACTCGCAGGTATAGCATCTGGCTGACTGCGACTGCCAGGCCAGCTTTGTATTCCGTTTTTTCTATTCACTGCTTACGCATGATTGTAGCACCTTCCGTACCGCCCTGCCAATCTTCAGGGGGTGGAAAGGGGGTGTACGGTAAGAATACGGGCACCGACCACCTGGCCAAACCTGGTTGTGCTGTAAGGTTAGATCTTTTATTTGCCTGCACCGCTGTTAATACAAGGGTCGCTCGAAATGTGTCGAATCAACTTGCACCAAGGGCCAGAGCTTCAACTCAGCTCCCACGATTACAAGAACCATCTCCTGAGGTAACGGGGGATGAAAAGGAAATTTCAATGGGCTGGTCTTAGACGGTCGTCGGCGGTAATTGCCATAATAACAGAGTCGGATTTAGATTGACGATGTAACCCTAATAATCCTCATTATAAATATCCGAATTTATTTTTTCCTACTGTCGGCAGTTGCAGTTCTGTTGGCTCTCGGTGTCAAATGTACAACGCAGGCACTGAGCACTTAAATTTCCTGTAATTACTGGGATCAGAACGAGTTTCACATATCAAAGATGCAACATTTAATATCACCTTCCCTTATTCCCTTACCCCCACTTTTTAATCACAACAATTTTTCATGACTATGACAAAGCGGTGGCATAGTAGCCATACACGCCAGCGTAATGTTATCTGGTATTAATTTCTGTGTGCCTTGTTTGAGAAGTAGAAATACGAGAACCTTCCATTGTTAGAGAGCTGTATTAACTATACAGTGGACCCCCGATAATCCGGCCCCGTCTAATCCGGTGCCCCCTGTAATCCGACGTGTCTTTGAATATGTATTACATACATACGTATTTGACAATCTTCGCTAATGTAGATCACGCAGGTTTGAACAGGTTACAACTTGTACGCGCTACCGCTATCGTGCTCGACGCGTAAGCATTGATTTACATAGTTTGAATTTGACTACTGGTGATAACAGTACGGCCTAGCGTGCGTTCATTGTTTACTATTTATTCATTGTGTATTAAGTATAGTACTCTAGTAATGACAATTAAAGAAAAATGTGATATTTTAGACCGCTTAAATCGCA